TCAAAAAAACATACTGACACTAAATGCATCGAAAACTAAGTTTATTACTTTTGGTATAGCACAAAATAGCATTCCTAGTGAAATACACATTAAAGCCCATACTTGTAATAATATTCATCCACATATAACATCATGTCAGTGTATAGTATTAGAACGTACAACCACAATAAAGTACCTTGGCGTAATTCTGGATCAAACTCTAACGTGGATACCACAAATTAAAATGATATCAGAAAAAATTCGCAAACTGATTTATATTTTCAAAACATTGCGGCATGTTGCTGACAATGAACTTTTAAAATCAGTCTACTATGCCATGGCCCAATCCGTAATATCATATTGCATAAGAGCGTGGGGAGGTGCTAAAAAATCTCATATAATAAGAGTTGAAAGGGCCCAACGCGCGTTACTTAAGGTTATGACTTTTAAACCATACCGATTTCCCACTGCTGAATTGTATACAACGTGCGATGTGCTGACGGTAAGACAACTGTACGTAGTTGATACTATCTTATCCCAACACAAGAAAGTCTCTTACGACCCAAAACAACCCCAAATACGAAGGAAGGACAGAGTGTGTCCTAATATTCCCTTTAGGACTCACTTTATTAAAAAGTTTCAATGTTTTATTGGTCCTTTTCTATATAATAAAATTAACCGAATGATTAATATACATCCGCTTAACAAACACAATTGCAAAAAAAAGTTGACAGTTTGGCTTAAATCACAAACTTATGACGACATTGAAGATCTATTTACAATAAAAAAATGAGCTGAGTCCTAAAATTTAAACTTAAATTAAAATAAAACAATATTAAATAATTATAAACACCTATTAACACATTATTAAAAAGTAGTAATTTGTAAAACGTTTAAGTGTATATTCTATGTTCATTTACTTAAAGGAAGAAACTAGCATTTAAGACACAGGCTTGGCCTAGTTTAAATGCTAGCAATTTTTATCTTATAGTGTACACTTTTCGTTCCAATGTTCCAAATATTAAGATTTACTCAATTAAAATTAAAATTTCAATTTTGTACTATTAAATACACAACATAAATAATTACATTCTTAATAATGTTCACAGTTATAGTGGTGAAACTTGTTTCTTGTTCGAATGAAACTACATCTTATGCATTCAAGTTTTTATTGTTTAAAATGTTTGTTCTACCCGAAACTTTAATCTTAAGATTAGATTATAAGTGTGTACTAAATTTTGTTTATCAATAAACATTATTATTATTATTATTATTATTAAAGTCTGATAGAACTGCTATAAGTGGATGAAACACCAAACTAAGGTGGATGTTAATTCTTTGGAAGAAATTCACAATAGTACTCATTGAAGTAACATGTACTAGAACAGACACCGTGAACAAATCTATGCAGCAGTGCGGGTCGCTTGGAAGGAGGCAACAGACTCGGTAAGTTTGAGCCCGCAGGTCCCAACGCGGTTGTAAACACTACGTCTCGACGTCACTTTTAGTACGTAGTAGATATTACTTCAATGACAGTACTGATTATGATCGGCCCAGGATTCCAAGCTAATTATTGTTTTTCAGATTCTGGTTGTATTTGACTCTTTATTTAACGCTGCACCTCAGCCTAGCCCCGATCTATCGCATTAAAAATCAGGCAAGTTACAATGTATTTCTCCAGCGATAACAACAATTTACCGCAACTACAATTTGCAATAAAAAAAACAAACTAAAGTAAAATCAAACTTACAAACCTCCATGCTTACAAATCTGTTCGTCAATGCTTTATACAAATGTTGGAGTCCAGTCTTCTTTAGTATACACATGCGTATATTTACGCTTAAACAAATTCTACAAATTTCACTAAAGGCCATTCCTGTTTCTTATTGCTTCAATGTAATTGAAATTGAATTCTCTTATTCATTAACCCAAGCCCAAGTTTTCAGGAATAATGGGTATGTTCGGAAATACAACGCAGTGTACTGTCCAACAGTGTTGCCAGATGTCTTGAACCTTTTATCTGTATTAGACACTGCTAAAATCTGCATTAAATCTGTATGCTACTTAAACTTAAAATTTGTATAATTTAATAAACCAAAATAGAATAATTGATCATCATCATCATTGCTTTTTTTGAAAAACAAGGAATAACTAATAACATGATAAGCAGATAAGGTTTGATTATCGTTATCAAATAAAAATATTTTTTTATAGAATAAAGGTGACAAACGAGCACACAGTCCACCGATGGTAAGTGGATGCTGTGGCCCATAGACATCCACATTTATCGTCGCTTAAGAATTAAAACGCAGATACGTTGTCACGCCTGAGGACCAAGAGGGGATGCCTCATTTCCAATGAAAAGGGTCTCCATTTCTACTTTCACCATACAAAACACTACCATGTATAAAATATACACTATACACTAAATTTTTTATAAAGCAAAATTGAAAACATTAATTTAAGCAAACAACATATTAAAACTCAAACAATTGCCTAATGAAGATATAATTACTTTATTATTTTCAGTCATACATATTTTATACACAGGGCGTTAGTGTAAACATCGTTATACTTGAAACCAGTGGTTTGGTTTCATTTATAGAACGTAAATTCAATGAAAAGTAACATTTTTTTTTTAGTAAAATCTCAATTTTTCCTTAATTCCTCAATTTTGCCTGTCCTAAGCCAGGGTGAAAGTATGAAGGAAAAGTTACATCACAGGTTATGTGTACCTATTGTGTTTTTATTAGAATATAGTGTAGGTAGCTAGTGCGGGCGGTGATCTTTACAGTGATTACTCACCCGGGCGCATAGGGTATCCATGAATTTACGGACGGTTTCGGACAGAAACCTCTTAAATTTTATGAAAGAAAATAGGGTTTTTTTTAGAATTTGGATAAATATTTTCATATTAAAGCCAACTACCTATGGTTTTAGTGACGACGGTGTTTACACTTGCACCTTGTGTATTGTTTGCATAGGAAGGTGTGTGAGCGTGTGTCACGCTGTGGTCAATCAATCAATGAATCATTTTATTCGTTTTGTATTGTATACATATTTTGTAATACACTTGTAATTCTGCCATACTAACTAATTACGTTGTGAAAAAATAAATCAACCATAAAGAATAGAATCATGAATGTGTGTAACGCGGTATCTAGTCTCTTATTTTGCTTCATTCTATTTTAAGTTGAATATTATGATAATCCAATCAATAGAGTTAGAAAACTCTGTATAAAAATCTGTACCCAGTGCTAATCTGTATCATACACCGAAAATCTGTATAAATACGGGGAAATCTGTATATATGGCAACACTGTGTAGGACTGTAGCTAGCAGGACTATGGCAAATGACAACAGAAGTGTTTCTTCTCACAATTTTGGTTTTACCTACTTTCTTTAGAAATTATCGCCTAATACTCCTAAAAATTATGGAAATTCCTGGAGCGCATAATTATAATAAAGAACAATATATAAAATAACTTATTAAAATACTTACAGCAGAAAACACATACAGAAAACTAAAATTAGACGAATAAGAGTTTGAGAAATGCGCCCATTATTAAATCAGTGGCTAATACAGTGAAAAAATACATTATATGTTTGTATGTTACTTTTTTCCAGGACATTATAATCCACTGGTTAACATGGGCCTTTGCCATTGTAGAAAGAAATTATCTTAATTGTCAAACTTGGTTGATGGATTGAAGAATCAGCATCGGACATTCTCGACATTTAACGCTGGCAGGCGTAGCCGGTCTAGGTATTTAACACTGCCGACAGCAATAACATCCTTTTAGTGTATTTAAAAGTCGCCTTTTGATTGGATTATCTTATGCTACCACCACACAGTCTTTTGTGATGTATCGTTTGCTATAAACAAATAAAAATAATCTTATTACTCCGATCGATGTGTACGGATATTATGAGTCGTGTGATCTTGCTTCGAATTTCCCTAAATCTCAGTCAAAATTAAATACCCCTAAACCTAACATTATATTTTAAATGTTTTGCCCGAAAAAGAGCGAAATTCCTAAAAGTGATAACACTGATAGCACAGACCACAGATAACTACTATTATTACTCTAGACTAGATTATAGATAATATACATAAGTGGATTTATCATAAACTTATTAACTTTGATCTGGTATTGTAATATTATAAGTAGAAAATAGTGATGTACCTACTATAGCAATTTAAAAAATGTTTTAGATCCATTTTTTTATTACGTTGATCGCACACAATAAAATAAAATGGCATGGCTATGCAGGTCTAGGGAAAGAGACCAGTATCACTGCGACCTAAAAGATCTATTGTGATCGCTGCTATGGCTATAGTTCACTGCTAAGCTTTAGATTCATACATTTTTGGTTTTTATATTGAATTTTTTTCATTGTTTCATTCATGTTAAACAATTTTTTACCGAATTTAGTATAAAAATGGACGTTACGAAGAACTCGCTCGAATTGGGTGACATGTTATCATTTCTTAACAAATATATACTTCTGTTTAAATTTTATACTAGAATTATCAGTCTTGTTAATATTTTTTATAATTCTCAATAATTATTACTTTATTCTACAATTGTTTATATTGATTAAAGTGTAAAAGATATTTATACAATATCTATGAGTGTATCCAACTGAAATATCGTAGACAGAGTGAAATATATACTTTATGTTGGTAGTACTGGATAGTATTTATTTATTATTTCACGTTGTTGGCAGTAGTGTTCCGAATTGAGACCGAGTAGGAAATAACGGGGTTTATCGTCTTCTCTGTTTTTTACTTCTATCACTCGAGGAACTTTTTTCTGTGATTTATTTAAGTAAAATAATTATTATATAAGAACAGTAATTAATCTCCATAAACGTTGGAACGTGTGGCATGCGCTGTGAACTGTGATTTTGTTTTAAGTGACGTGATTTGATACTAATGGCGGTCCGTGACAGTGCTATGATATGTTTGTGTCGAAATTCCGAAAATTAAGCGAGGGATATCATTGTGATGCCTATGATTGCTGGTCAGTATTACAAGGGTCAACATCAAAATCCATTATCCCGCATAAATCTTTTTTAGAATTGAATAATAGCTATTTATCCCGCTACTTCCTACATTTCCGTATTTCCTTTTTGAAATAAATCGTGATTTTGGCAATATAGAAGTTGTTTCTAGGCCATCGTTGGTCAATACCAAGTCGTGCGTTGCCTGTTGACATTTTAGCGAGCTATAGTCGCAAGTAACGATGTCGCAAGTAGCATATCTGGGTCATCAAAGTTCAGGTCACGACGCGCGCAGTGACGTCACTGCCTCCCTTACAGACCCGCACCACCGTCTTCCACTTAGCCACCTTCACTTTCAAAATTGTAATGTGTGCATAATATATGTAATATTGTCAGAATCTACATATTTTCCATTGCACATTGAAAAAATTCGTAAACTTTTACGTAAATATTCAACACTAAATTCTTCGAAATAATGTTTTGTTTCCGAATTTCCTACGTTTCTAATTCAGTTACCGTTACACCCTGTTAAACTTCACTGCTGAACAAAGGCCTCCCCCATAGATTGCCTCATAAGGAGGATGTTTGCCACAGTAGTCACACTTGGCAAATGGGTTGGTAGCTGAAGTTTTTTACTTTATATCCCTCAGTTACCAATGTACGGCACCCACAGGGTGCTATAGGGTAGTGGATACAGTATATATACATAGTGTGCAACATTTTATCAACATACAAATGAATACAACTTGCATGTAAATTCTACTTCAAATCCTTGTCATATATTGCAGTTGTAGTATATGAATATCTACTACCCCATATCCTGTATCTTGTGGATGTCATAAAAAGCGACAGATGGAAACAGGAACTGGGCAGCAGCCTCCTCTTAATAAAAACTTAATATAAAATCTTCTACTCTTAATCTGGGTATGCCAAACTGTCTGTAGTGTGGCAGCTGCCCCAAATTTTCTTTAAGTATGGAATGTGTTTGTGGTATTCCTTGAGGGAGGACTATGTGCAGCATAAGGCTTGCAAAAGGATGTATCACATTTTTACGTGGTAGAACCATGCTGCAGTTATATTAGTTGTATAGTTGTAGCATGAATGGGTTGGCTCGACCGGGGAAGGACCACGCTCTCACAGAATACCAGCGTCAAATGGTACCTTAATGCTGCTGTGTTTCGTATGGTGAGTGTAGAGAAGCGGAAATCCTTTTTACTGGAAACGAGGCATTCCATCTTAGTCCTCACGGGTGACAATGCATCTGCATTTTGATTCGTAATCGAGGATAGATGTAAATATCTATGGGTCACAGCATCCACTTACCATCAGGTGGACTGTGTGCTCATTTGTCACTTCTATCCTATAAAAAAAAACATTAAAGAGTGATAATTTAATTTATTGAATATAAATTACATCATGCCAAATGGAAATCGTTAGTCTCTGCCCACCCCTGCGGGTGAGAGGCGTGAGTGTTTGTTTTTGTATGTATGTACTTATTTATGTTTTTAACACTGGTTTGTGAAAAACCTCTGTTCTGGAAACAGCCAATAAGTAACCCAATGGGACCTAATTTTTAAACTAATTTACATTATAACATGCTGTTGTGTGGCTCATGGTATCCACTAATGTAACACCTATTATAAACTTGTGACAGTACTAAACAGGACTTTGAACATAAAGGTTGTTGTCATTTAATAACATCTTTACACGGTGTCCGAAGATTATTTTATAGTATTTTTTGTAGTGGCTTAGAATGTTCCATAATAAGATACAATTTTCTTCACCAGATCTACAATTTAAATTAGAAAAGTTATGTTCCATCTGAATTTGATTTCTTTGTACAAAATATTAATTTTGTATTTGAAATTGTATTTCTATGGTACAGATATTAGTAAAAAAAGTGTAATTTATAATTTTTTTTTAAAATGCCGTGGGAGGTGTAGTGTGGCTCAAGGTATCGGGTTGGATTTAGAATCGTTTGGCAGGAATTTGGGGGAGTAAGGTGTTTTATTTGGTAGAAGTTTGGTTCCCGATTATAATAATACCACTCACATTAAAAGGTAATGCACCGTTATCGAAAAAAATAAATAAAAAATATTATAACCTTAAATACGTAAAGTATGAAAAGTGATACATTTTTTTTTTTAACTGAATTTACGGCTCTGGGTTCTAGACTTTCTGAGAAAAAAATTATACGATATTACTGTGAAAGCAGACTGTGAAAGCAGGATAACATACAGAATTTTGTGTCTGTGGCGGGATCAAAGGCAACTTGACTATAGATATCTGATCTGATCGAATCTGTACTAAAATTAAATCAGCATGCCCCGAATCCATGTAGTCTTGTCTGCCCTACTCCTAAAGTGTTTTTGTAAAGCCGTAGGTGCGGAGGAAGAGCAGCCCCCGCCCGTCGTAGCAAATCACAGGCACTTGTGCGAGCTGTAGTGTTGTTATTATTGTATTATATATTACTATGTTTATAATTTAAAGTAATTATAAAAGCTAATATTTTGGTGTTTTGTTGAGTGCAAGAGCGAGCGAAGCAAGGGGGACTTAGGGCACCCCGACTCGGACAGGTTAGGTTAGAAGGGGGTCTATTCGCTCTCTTCGCTCGCTCACTCGACCCCGCCATTCCCTTCGTGGTTATGTGTTGGTAAACCACTCAGAAGTAGCAGCCCCGCGAAGTGGGGCTCCGTCGACCTGCCTTTCCTCGACTGCGCTACGTGGTGCTTCCCTCCTCCAACTCTCTCCCCCCATAAATCAGGATTATAGACAAAAACATAACCTCAAAATTAGATTTTTAAAAATGTATAAAAAAAAACTAAGCATGTCTGGCATGATGTGGAAGTGGGGAGCGACTCTACAAATCCCCCGCCTTCCTCTCCACTACCTCCCATCCCTTTAATGAGTTATGATTTTGAGGTTAGTTCTATGGGATTTTCTTTTTGATTTTTCTCAAGAAAAGTGCATTACCTTTTAATGGGAGTGGTATTATTATAATCAGGGACCAAACCTCTACCTAATAAAACACCTTACTCCCCCAAATTCCTGCCAAACGATTCTACATTTCAACCCAAGGTATCTACTAATGTAACACCTATTATAAAATTAAGACAGTATTAAACAGGATTAGGAACAAAAAGGTTGTCTCATTTAATAACATCATTACAATGCTGTAAATTAAATATGAAAACATATTGAAACAGCATGAGATTGAAACAAATCAGGAGATGGGCGGCAGCATGTTTCTAATAATGACTAAAAATAAAAATTTGCGGTTGCCAACCTGCTTAGCGAGCGGCCGGTACTATTGCCTACTGCTACTAATAACTATGGCAAATATCCCTATGAGGCAATCTGTGGGGGAGGCTTATGTTCACAGTGTACTTTACTATACGTGGTAGAGCCACACTGCACCTATATTAGTAGAATAGCTGTAGCACGAATGGGTAGGTTCGACCGGGGAAAGACCATGCTCTCACAGAATACCAATGTAAAATCGCAGCTTAACGCTACTGAGTCTCATATGGTGAGTGTAGAGAACTGGAGACCCATTTTGCTGGAAACAAGGCATTCTATCTTAGTCCTCATGGGTGACAGTGCATGTACGTTTTGATTCTTAATTGAGGATAAATTTAGATGTATATGGGCCACAGCATCCACTTACTATTCGGTGGATTGTGTGCAGTTCAGTCACAGAACAATTGAAGCCCTTACTTCAGAAATAGTTACTGTTACGTTTACAGCCTATTAAAGTCTGTTGCTGAACATAGGCCTCCCCCATGGATTGCCTCATAGGGTGAATACTTGTCATAGTTGTCACGCTTGGCAAGTGGGTTGACAACCGTAGTTTTTCTTTTCAGTCATTATTAGGAAAATGCTGCTGCCCATCTGATTTGTTTCCCTCTGTCGGCTCTTACGGCACTAACGGAATTATTATTATTTTTGTTTAATACATTAGGAGTACCCTTAACTGACGAGCGTGTATGCGTAGATATATGGATGTAGAGGAGGCAAGGTATGTCAGGATCGTGCCAAATGGAAGTCCATAATCTCTGCCCACCCCTATGGGTGACAGGTGTTTATTATAAGTGAGTGCTTATCCTTTCAGCTGCAGAGACTCTAACCGTCATATTCCGTTAACTGCGGAGCTGTTTAATAAAATTGACGGCGCATTGGGCGCAATCTGTTTAAACGCAAATTTCTTGATTTTGGTATATCAAATATTATAATATGTATACATTTCTGAATTCTCTATGAAATTTCCTATAAACAAGTTTATAAATTAAATAAAGTCCCAAAGTAATAAGTGTAAGTACATATTTCATAAAGTCAAAATTGTATTTCTCGATGAAACCAATTTTTTATAAAACTTCGATTTTATTTTCATTTAATTTTAAATCTATTGTTTATAATATTTTATACGCAAAATTATAGGCTACAATACAATTTTTTATCATAAAACGCATTAATAGTAAGCTTACAAGAACCAACAATCAACTTACACTGATGTAGAATGTAGTTCGGACCAGATGCAGCATTAACAATTAAACTGCGTCGTCACATTTTAATTAACGCAATACTTCTTACAAAGTGACTGACACGGCAGTCAAAGGTTTAATGCATTAGTCAATAAAATTAACACTAGTTTTTTTATTTCATTAAAAATATATACTTAAATTCGTGAAGAAACATGTGGTTTTATTTCCAGGACTAGTTGAACCTCTCTTTTTCCTTACATGATTCAGTCATCTTTAAATAGATCTTGCTAAGTTTTACAAATCTCATAAAGTTATGAAATAAGTGTTTTTAGTGCCGATATCAAAATTTTAGCCATAAGTGCCATATTTATTGAAAAATTAATTACTTTATTTGAGCAAACAATTTTCAACAGCACTTGTAGAGAAATAAAGATCCATTCATTCCCTTAAAAGCCATAAAACCACTCAAGGGTCACTCCCATGGACATAGAGTCTAAAATAACGTTTTTTGTAAACAATACTCAATGCGCCACAATAGT